CAGGCTACTTTTTGGATGGTTTACTCTTGAAGCATAATTGAATGCTTGATTAAAAACATTGAATTTCTAATTAATTTTCGATTAAAAATATTACATGGTCATATAGACTAAAATTCAGTAACTGGAATTAAAACGGTTACAACAATATAAACTATTTTTTAATAGTTTTTACTTACACTTCTTTGTATCAACACCTTCATTACTTTTTTTAAAGACGTTCGTTTTTTTAATTTGTAGTTACTAAATCTTCCTTCCCTCGATTCATGCACATTTAATTGTTGTGTCAACGGTGTTGAGTTGGGCTAATGATGGTGGTTAATTTTGTGAGACCGTATGTTTCTCGTATCGTCCATTGTGTCTCCATTCAACCTAAACCGAGTTACTTTACCTGCGTGGTTCCAATTTATCGGCGGTGAATGACTGGTGGTAGTTGTGAATAATACACGTAAATGTTATCTCCTTCCTCAATATTTAGTGACAACGGTGTATCAGATCCTCTAATTATAGGATTGTATTTTTGTATGGTAAGCATATTAGTAGATTGTGTATTACCCGAAACATAAAGCAAACCGTCCAAAACGACTACTTGATCTATATCAAAAAATGTATACTGAGTAAGTTTATGTCGTTCTGTTGTACAGTATGATACAACATGACATTTTGCATAGAAAATAAAACACCATTGTAAAACCTCTACAAATCCAAGATGCTTAGAATTTCTGCTGAGATTCGCTCAGAATCTAAAATGTAATTAGTATACATAACGTATGTTTACTATTGAATACATTTATTTTTTGTTAATAATATGGTAAGCTTTGATTACATTGTGCAACAATTACTTGCGACTACTAAACTTCTTAAAGAGGCCTACTCTTACACAAATAAAATTGATAATCAGGCTACTTTTTGGATGGTTTACTCTTGAAGCATAATTGAATGCTTGATTAAAAACATTGAATTTCTAATTAATTTTCGATTAAAAATATTACATGGTCATATAGACTAAAATTCAGTAACTGGAATTAAAACGGTTACAACAATATAAACTATTTTTTAATAGTTTTTACTTACACTTCTTTGTATCAACACCTTCATTACTTTTTTTAAAGACGTTCGTTTTTTTAATTTGTAGTTACTAAATCTTCCTTCCCTCGAGTCATGCACATTTAATTGTTGTGTCAACGGTGTTGAGTTGGGCTAATGATGGTGGTTAATTTTGTGAGACCGTATGTTTCTCGTATCGTCCATTGTGTCTCCATTCAACCTAAACCGAGTTACTTTACCTGCGTGGTTCCAATTTATCGGCGGTGAATGACTGGTGGTAGTTGTGAATAATACACGTAAATGTTATCTCCTTCCTCAATATTTAGTGACAACGGTGTATCAGATCCTCTAATTATAGGATTGTATTTTTGTATGGTAAGCATATTAGTAGATTGTGTATTACCCGAAACATAAAGCAAACCGTCCAAAACGACTACTTGATCTATATCAAAAAATGTATAATGAGTAAGTTTATGTCGTTCTGTTGTACAGTATGATACAACATGACATTTTGCATAGAAAAAAAAACACCATTGTAAAACCTCTACAAATCCAAGATGCTTAGAATTTCTGCTGAGATTCGCTCAGAATCTAAAATGTAATTAGTATACATAACGTATGTTTACTATTGAATACATTTATTTTTTGTTAATAATATGGTAAGCTTTGATTACATTGTGCAACAATTACTTGCGACTACTAAACTTCTTAAAGAGGCCTACTCTTACACAAATAAAATTGATAATCAGGCTACTTTTTGGATGGTTTACTCTTGAAGCATAATTGAATGCTTGATTAAAAACATTGAATTTCTAATTAATTTTCGATTAAAAATATTACATGGTCATATAGACTAAAATTCAGTAACTGGAATTAAAACGGTTACAACAATATAAACTATTTTTTAATAGTTTTTACTTACACTTCTTTGTATCAACACCTTCATTACTTTTTTTAAAGACGTTCGTTTTTTTAATTTGTAGTTACTAAATCTTCCTTCCCTCGAGTCATGCACATTTAATTGTTGTGTCAACGGTGTTGAGTTGGGCTAATGATGGTGGTTAATTTTGTGAGACCGTATGTTTCTCGTATCGTCCATTGTGTCTCCATTCAACCTAAACCGAGTTACTTTACCTGCGTGGTTCCAATTTATCGGCGGTGAATGACTGGTGGTAGTTGTGAATAATACACGTAAATGTTATCTCCTTCCTCAATATTTAGTGACAACGGTGTATCAGATCCTCTAATTATAGGATTGTATTTTTGTATGGTAAGCATATTAGTAGATTGTGTATTACCCGAAACATAAAGCAAACCGTCCAAAACGACTACTTGATCTATATCAAAAAATGTATACTGAGTAAGTTTATGTCGTTCTGTTGTACAGTATGATACAACATGACATTTTGCATAGAAAAAAAAACACCATTGTAAAACCTCTACAAATCCAAGATGCTTAGAATTTCTGCTGAGATTCGCTCAGAATCTAAAATGTAATTAGTATACATAACGTATGTTTACTATTGAATACATTTATTTTTTGTTAATAATATGGTAAGCTTTGATTACATTGTGCAACAATTACTTGCGACTACTAAACTTCTTAAAGAGGCCTACTCTTACACAAATAAAATTGATAATCAGGCTACTTTTTGGATGGTTTACTCTTGAAGCATAATTGAATGCTTGATTAAAAACATTGAATTTCTAATTAATTTTCGATTAAAAATATTACATGGTCATATAGACTAAAATTCAGTAACTGGAATTAAAACGGTTACAACAATATAAACTATTTTTTAATAGTTTTTACTTACACTTCTTTGTATCAACACCTTCATTACTTTTTTTAAAGACGTTCGTTTTTTTAATTTGTAGTTACTAAATCTTCCTTCCCTCGATTCATGCACATTTAATTGTTGTGTCAACGGTGTTGAGTTGGGCTAATGATGGTGGTTAATTTTGTGAGACCGTATGTTTCTCGTATCGTCCATTGTGTCTCCATTCAACCTAAACCGAGTTACTTTACCTGCGTGGTTCCAATTTATCGGCGGTGAATGACTGGTGGTAGTTGTGAATAATACACGTAAATGTTATCTCCTTCCTCAATATTTAGTGACAACGGTGTCTCAGATCCTCTAATTATAGGATTGTATTTTTGTATAGTCAGCATATTAGTAGATTGTATATTACCCAAAACATACAATAAACCATCTAAATCAACTACTTGAACTATATCAAAAAATGTAATATTTAATATATTTTTACAAATATATTTTTTAAAATATTAATATAATAGTTACTAGAATAGTTGTCAAAGAACATGTCAGCCACTGGAGTAAGGACTCCGACACTTGATCTATAGGCCTCAACAGATTTTAAAAAATTCCGTTTTACGTTATTCAGAATTAAAACGTTATCTAATTTTTGTATTTATCGTTATTCAGAATTAAAACGTTACCCAAGTTTTCCGTTTATCGTTATTCTGTATTAAAACGTTAAACAAGTTTTGCGTTTATCGTTATTTAGAATAAAAACGTTATATTACGTGTAAGTAACACTTCTTTTTATAAACACCTTCATAACTTTTTTAAAGGGCGTTCTTTTTTTAATGTGAATATCGTAATTTAATATGTTGATCTCTGAGTCCCCAAATTAATCAACAAAATGTCTTAAATATTCCGCTAAAGTGCGTTGCGATCTTTCTAACGCACCATTTGACTGCGGGTGATTAGCTGTAGTTTTAATTTTGTCTATTTGAAGAAGTTAACAGCATGCAGTGAATATTTTGCTTAAAAAATCTTGTCCTTCTCCGTGACTATTGATTCTGGTATTCCATGCTGACAAACAAAATTTTCGACAAAAGCTTTGGCTATTGAGTTAGCTGTATGATTTACCAATCCAATTGCTGCAGAAAATTTCGTTAAATCGTCTAGCATTGTGAGTATATATGAGTATCCTTCAGTTGTAGTTTCGAGTGGCCCGACAATGTCAAGGAACATTTTTTTGAAAGGTTTGGTAGCAATAGATGTAACTATGTACCATGGGTTGCTGGGTTGTGTGGTTACTACTTTTGTTAAATTGGCATCAACTACATTTTTTTATGAATTCTATAATATCTTTCTTCAAGCCTTTCCACTTATGGTGTAATTTAATTCGTTTAATTGTTCTAGAAATTCCTCGATGACCTCCTAATGGCGATAAGTGGAATTCTTCAATAATTCTTTGTTTCTCATCCTCCGAATAAGATTCACCACTGTAAATCATTATCTTGATTTCAGAATTTTTAAAAATATATCTTAACATTGTACGAATTTGTTCCCAATTAAGTTGATCGTAACCGCTACCGATTTTGGGTCGAGCTACTTCATCTACAAAGTCTCCCTAACTATTAGGTATACGGTAGAGACTAGGAGATGGATAAAAGGAACCAACGTAGGTGTTGTTGTTGTCACTTCGTCCTTGAGTTTCTAATCTGGATTATTTGGCAATATTTAAATTCTCGGAACTATTGAAAGTTGAAATTTGGTGGCAACAACAGGTGCGGCGGCTAGATGTGGTTGACTGCTTAAAACACGTATTTGTAATATACTTCTGCGTTCTAGTATATGCAGTATATTTATTAAAATGTAGTAAACGGTTGGTTGGTTTACTACACTGTTCTGTGTTCGTCGCGACGGATGATAACGTAAAACAAAACAACAACTACTTATCAGCAATGACGGTAACCGAGATCGTTCTAATCGGTCAAAACTTCGGATAGAAACAAATTTCTGGCTGCGCTAGTGACATGTGCTCTAACATAACGCATTCGCTGTTTTATATCCCAGCCATTGAAATAAGCGACACCCGTCTCGGAAGATATCCAGTCATCAGCCTGCACTTAATTGGTCTCACTGCCATTGAACAGTGAAATTGTGCTGTCCATGTCCGGCGGTACGCGATAGTCGAACTGTATGCAGATCGGTGATTTAGTATTATCTCCTGGCAAAATTTTAAGCGTGGCTCCTCAAGCTTACGCAGTTTTTCACGAAGCTCATAAGTCTGGGCTATCAAATCGTTATAATTCGGTGCTTTCACGGGGTATTGTTCGTCTAGGCGCCCCGTTTGTTTCACCGTTACTGTTCTGTGTTCATCGTGACAGATGGCAACGTAAAACAAAACAACAACTACTTATCAGCAATGACGGTAACTGATGTAAACACGTGTTATCAAAATCACGGTATTTTTCACTTATTGATAACAACCACGCTAAAGAAACTTCGTTGACGACCGCGAGCGTCAAATAATTTAGTTGAAGACCATTTGTAAAAGTCGAAAATATTTTGGTTATAATTTGTCATAATTAATAATTATAAATTCACAGAAACATCGGCTAATGAGTTGTTTCAGTGTTCAAAATATTCTTTTTTAGATTCATGGTTCATTTCCTATCTTAATCTCTTTATATTTTTGGCCAATCGCTCACTGAACATACATTTGTTTTGATGTAAAAAAACATTTGAACCGTTCATATCCGGGTAAATTGATGGTAAACCGTTTTTCCTTAATACCATTTTTATTCAGGAATTGTATACCAACGGATGTATAAGGAAATCTCCATCTACTAGAGAAACCTATTCCCTTAACTAAATTTTCCTGCATTCGTTAGCTTCGGGACATCATTGATGGTCGCGCCCGTCAAATAATTTAGCCGAGGTAATGCACAATTTGAATAAATGGGCTCCGTTTGGATGACGGATATTCACTTCAGCAGTTTTGAGCATCGGAACCTCCTTGATGGTGTTAAATAAAAATGTATTCGGATGTCGGGTTAGCTAGATAATGTTTCATTCGGATGTTTTGAAAATAGAATCATTTGGGTTGTATAGGTTTCGGGTGTTTGATTTTTAAGTATTTTTTATGGTGTTATTTGTTTTGGTTTATTCAATTGCTAGGCCCTGGATATATTAAAATAAAAAAAAATAATGTATGATTTAAACCATAATAAATATAATTTACCTACAACAATAAACAAATATAATTACATATTAAAGTGGAGAATATGAAAACAGAAAATAGAAGAAATAAGAAAATTATTAGCAACGAAATACCAACATATTTATATACTTAAAGGAGATGAAATGAAATCAATATGTATGAACTAGTATATTTAAAAAGCTAATAAGAGGGTAAACCAACCTTTTGAGTTTTAAGGGCTAAACAAATAACTAGAAATATTGAGTCCTATTTGTGAAAGATCATTGCAATGGAGAGTGTAAGGTGCTTTTGAAAATAATTGAAATAACACGAAATCCTATATACATACTCAATTACCTATCCTAAATAAAATAAGTGTATAAGTATTCAAATTTATGTATTGGCATACATGTGTAATTAACTTTAATTTTATTAGATACTATAGATATACAGTAGACGCCGCTTATAAGACTCACGGATATAAGGTTCAGTCGCTTATTAGACTCAAAATCGTCTGGAACGGACGTCCGGAACGTATCCAAAAACATTTTAAAAAAATCGGTTATAAGTCTCAACACTTCGGTTATAAGACTCAAATTGCGTAAAATAAATAGTAGAAAAAAAACTTTTTTGGTTATAATTTAGAAATAAATTGGTATTGAAAAAATAAATAATATTCCTGTTAATTTTTTCTAGTTTCTGGTGGTACCTTATAACGCATAATAATTTTTATCGCAGATAAAAGGTCATATATTCGAATTTCAACTCGTTCTTTTCTTGTTGTTAACATGAGTGCTAATCTAATGCATTTTCATCTAACATTTATAAATACGTAATTAATTTTTTTTTTCCACTTCGTCTATTCATTCGGTTATAAGACTCACTTTGTGCTGGTCCCAAAGTGAGTCTTATAAGCGGCGTCTACTGTATATAGAGATAGTGGGATTATGTGGTGGTGGTTAAAGGTTTTATTGATATTTTTATTATAATATACTTATATTAACACAATTATAAATCAATATTGCAATTCAAGGGAAATAAATACTTATTTATATTATATACTTATTAACACAATTATTTATCAATATTGTAATCCAAAGGAAATAAATACTTATTCATATTGTATACTTTATTTAAAAAAACTAACATTTATATATTATATTATCTACAGAAATACATAAAAATTAAATATTGTAAATGACCTATGTCATATATCCAAGATGTATGGTTTAATTGTAACCTAATTGTAAAATAAACTGTAAATTTTATAAGTCAAAATTGTAATGATTTCTGTCTTAACATTTATTTTTGGCGGGGAGGTCCTAAATGCCATTCTAGTATTATTATAATGTTATGAATCTCGTATACTCGTAGCTATTGCCAAAAATACATCGAATGGTCCCAATAAAGTTCCACAAGTCCGAGAAATCTATGAAACCAGGAATACGTCTATAGTCTATATCCAGGTCTTAAAATGCATGACCATAGTTCGTATAAGCTAAACGGTATTAACTAGTATTCACTTATTAATATACACGATCGCGAACCCAGCTACTCGCATTTTGACAAAAACAACAACATTCCACTACAACAGTTCCAAGGACAAATTTCTTTAGACACGTTGAGATCTGAGGACCTTCTCGCCACTCACACCGACATGACTTGTAAGGTATGCCTTAATAATTTTTGCTTAAATTGAAATAGAAATAAACTATAATTTTATTCACTGTTGAAATTGTGTTCTTCAATTTATTTAATAACCACCTGGATCTCAGGCAGTGCGGATTTATAATATATGATATATTTAATTATGAATCATGATGTAGTATTAATATTATGTACTTACTGTTACCTAATAACTATTTAGGATTTTAAATATCATAAAATATTTAACTGCGTAGGTGTTCGGGTTTTGTAGTCGGGTGACTAAACCAGCTAGGTGACTCTTTTTCGTATGACTATATAGTGCTAAGAAACATAATATGCTTGGTTTTATTACAAATTTTAATACACAGAAATACAGAAAATATGTCAAACAGATATAAGAAATAGATAATAAACATTTATATTCATTTATTTCACTCCAAATGCATGTTACAACCTTAAATTAGCAAGAAATGCCTTGGATCATCTTCAAGAATTTTTATTTTTTAGATTAAATTGATAATTTAATTGAGTGGAGGCACATAATAAAACAACTATCTAAATTCCAAAATAATATTATTCAATTCAAATAAACTAAAAAAATTAGTTTTTCACATATCTATTACAAAACATTTCAGAAGACTTTAAAAATTGCAAAACTACATACAGAAACTAATAATTAAATTCTTACAAATTGTAGATTTTTAACTCAAGAAATAAATTGGCAAAAGATACAAAAAAAATATATCCATCATCTTTAGTTGGTATACATAGTATCTAAAATAAGCAAGGAGATTAACTAAATGCTAATTAACTAAAAATATTGTAAACTGACAATGTCGGTAAACAGCTCAAAAAATTTCACATTTATTTTAATTTTTTTTTAATTTTATGGTGTATAGAAAATGCCAATATAAACATTTAGTGAAATTTTCAAGTATCTACAGTCATTTGTTTTTTAATAAAATTACAATAATATAAGAAAATTGTTAGGTACATGAGAAATCGAGTGAATATCCAATGTTGTAAAAATTTGAATTTCAAACGCTCATAAAAATTTAATTTAACTTTCTTATAAAAATGTTTTTTTTGATAAAGGTAGATAATCTTATAAGAAATCTCGTATTACACCTTAAAATCTTAGATTTAAAAAGATAAATTTTTAAGAATTCTTAACTCAAAATAGTTTTCTAATTTTCGTGATTTTTCCATATTTTGTCAATTTTTAAACTTTAAATGCTTATAAAAAAAACTGTGACTAAGGATTTTTAATATTTTTCATTTGCCTTTGAGACAATATGCTATTAGCCTTCTATTAAATTTCCAAACTTTTTTAAAAACAAATAAAATTGTATTGATATTTTTAGAAAAAAAACTAAAAAAAATGGAAAATGAAAATGTTCCTAAACAGTTCAAAACAAATCATAATATTTTGAAAATTTGATCGTGTATAGAAAATGCAAATATAAACAACCAGTGAAAATTTTATATATAAACGTTCATTTGTTTTAGAGTTACACCAAAAACCAAAATCGATTTTTTTGGAAAACTGACTTTGCGTACAAATTCCCGTTTTCCCTTAATTTTTATGTTGTTTTTCCCGGCGCTTTTGAAAACTATTGGGAATTTTAAAATTTGACCTCCTGAATGCACCAACTAGATTCACTTTCCCATCGAAAAAGATTCTGTTGAAGAAAATTGAAGTAGTTTTACTGCCCCAAACCGTGATGACAGACACAAAAAAAATTAAAAATTAAAAAAAAAAAAACACACATCATTGTAAAATCAATACGTCATTCATCGTTCCACTCAGAATCTAAAATCCAGACTGACAAACCGTCACCTCTCAGAATCGTTTTTCTCTACAAAGATATTATATCATTGAATTCAAGTTTAATACCTATAATCCTTTATACATTGACCAACTTATTACTGTACAGCAGAGTGACATCCACTTACTCACTTTTTTTAGTTTTTTTTTTCTATAGATGTCAATAAAATATTATTCATTTTGAAAATGTAATACATGGCTCCTAATATATTGTTACAGAGGTAGTTAAAAATATTAAAAATACATAGGCACAATTTTTTTTTAATAAGCATTTAAAGTACAATATTTGACAAAATTTATCAAAATTAAAATAGGAAAAATCACGAAAACGTGCAAATTATTTTGGGTTCAAAATTTATAAAAAAAATTTTTTTTTTAAATAAATATTTGAAAAATTAATAAGTACAATACTTCTCATAAGTTTGTAAATCTTTATCAAAACATGTTAACTGGAAAGTCAAATTACATTTTTATGAACTTTTCAAATTAAAATTCAAAAACGAATAACTTTAGAAATGTACACCGTATGTTTAATTTCCATAGGTACTTCATAAAATGTTTACTAATTTTAAACTGTTTACGGACATTTTAAATTTTCTTATTATTTGGTTTTTTTCTATAAAATATGTCAATAAAATTTTTTGTTGGGTAAATACAAGGCTCCTGATAAATTGTGACAATATCCGTTAAAAAATAATAAAAATACTTAGGCACAATTTTTTTTTATAAGCCTTTAAAATTTAGAATTTCGACAACATTTAT